TTGTGTGTTCGTTAACTTTTTCTATCCCATTCTTTTTCTTTTTGGTTCGAATTTTTTGTTTCTTTTGTTCGAATTTTTTCGAATTTTATCCCCTAATTTTCGAAAAATTTCGTCAGTATAAAAAAAAAAAAGTGTCATCTAGTCCTTTGTTTGATTTTTGTTCGGTTATTACCTTTTGTTGAGGGGCCGAATTTCTTTTGTTTTATTTTTTTGGTTCGAATTTTGTTCGAATTTTCATAGAGTCTTAAAAAAAATGTCTTATGTGCCAATGGACGAGATAGATGTTGACGAGCGTTTTCGGTCAACGGTTAAAATGATAAATGTTGAAGGTAAAAGATTGAAAACGGGAGGATGATTCGGTTTAATTATGGTTTTATTAGGCGATCACGAAGTCGGCCTCTCGTACGAGGTCGTCACTTGCGATATACTTACAATTATTACAATGAGTTTCTTACAGTTTTAGAGAGAGAAAGAAGAGAGAAGGCAGAGTTAGTTGAATTTCAACATCCCAAAATAAATGAAATGAGCTGCTATTTATAGTAGTCTTTAATGTGGCACTATTCAGCTACTGTTCACCGGTCTTGTCGCACAGTGGCCTTAAAGGGCAGTCCGACGTCCCTCTGACATGTATTTAATGCGATTTGAGGTTTCTTCAATCATTACCTGTCAGGCATTAAAGGCCAGCATGGGGGGCATTTAATGCTGGTAGGCTTTATTGATTAGGCTTACTGATAGGGTGCTAGGCTATGATCACTTGTCCCATCGTCCAATGATGGCCTCCCAAGTGGGAATATTTTAATGCACATCGAAGCCTGCGCTTTCCCTCTGGTCGGCCTTCTCAGATTTTCAGGCTGGTACCTCACTCGAAAGTGTTCACGAGACTGCGAATAGTCTTCTTTCTGTCCGACACCCATCCAGGCCGGCTTTTGTCCTGACTGAGCCAGGTGCCGGACTGGGAGAACATTCCTACGGATGTTCTGCTCGTCTTTAATTCTCGGTTCAGCTCGGCACCTCTTCACCAGACCGGGTTTTCAGCTCGGTCCTCAGAGGTTGAGTATCCGGTTCAATCTGGGCCAACTCGGCTATCAACATACAGGCCCCCAGGCTCGGAGAGGAGGTTTTTTCCAACATCTTGTCCGAGGTCGCTACTCTGATGCCCAGTCCCGAGTTTGCCGAGTTTCACCCGGCGCTTCTGATTCCCTTGAGTCACATTTTCCCTGTTCCTGGTACATTGATGACGCGAGCTGAAGCGACGCGTCCATCAATGCGATGTGGCCGTTGCCATTCTTGTCGGCCATGAAAAGTCGTGCCATTTCAGGGTCCTTTACACGTGTCCCCGTCTGATTGGCCCGCGTGGTGCGTCGCATCGCTTCAGTGGAAAGGGCGGTTACTCTGCTCGTCAATCAGGTCCAGGTTGGCTCTCAACGACTCAGAGTTGTACTCTTCCTCGAACTTGGTTACTCGAAATGTTGGGGCACCGAGCTCGACTGGTATCATTGCTTCAGACCCATATGCCAGTGAGAATGGCGTTTCGCCGGTTGACGATCTGGCCGTTGTGCGGTAGGCCCAGAGTACGCCCGGGAGTTCTTCTGGCCAGGCCCCTTTCGCGGCTTCGAGTCAGACCTTGAGCCCTTGTTTGATTATCTTGTTTTCTGCCTCGACCTGGCCGTTAGACTGGGGATGGTAAGGTGTCGAGAAGAAGTGTTTGATGTTGTGTTCTTCGCAGAACGTCTCCAGCTTCCTCCCTTCGAATTGTTTGCCATTGTCGGTGATGATCGAGTTTGGCACTCCGAATCGACATATGATGAACTTCCATAAGAAATCTATCATCTTCTGTTCTGTTATGGTGGCAAGCGGTTCGACTTCTGCCCACTTCGTGAAATAATCCACTGCAACCACCACGTACTTCACCCCGCCCTTTCCGGTAGGAAGGGGGCCGATCAGGTCGACAACCCACCTGGTGAATGGCCACGGGCTGAGAATCGATTTTAGGGGCTGCGACGGTTGAATGATGTTGGGCGCGAAGGTTTGACATTTCGTACATCTTCGGGCCAGGTCCAGAGCGTCTTTCTTCAGACTCGGCCAGTAGTAGCCTTGTCTAAGGACATTGTGTGCGAGGGTGTGCCCCCCTGAGTGGTTCCCGCATACGCCTTCGTGGATTTCTTTAAGTATGTATTCGGCGCTCCTTTCATCTACGCACTTGAGCAAAGGTGCCGAGTAGCCCCA